CGGGAGGTTGCTGAAGGAGGGGCCCAAGGGTGGCGGGAGGCAGGGCCGCCGCTGGTCACCCCAATCGCCCCCTTCCCACCCGAATGGCAGCTCCTGAAGCCCGCGGGGCGGGGTGAGCGTCAGCTGGGGAGGGGCCCCCCGCAGGGGTGACGGGGGTCCGGGGAGAAAAGCTGTGGGGTCAGCCCACAGGACCCCTCCCGCCGGTGGGGCTGCAGGGGCCACACCACACGGGGTGCGTCAGTAACTCGACCTTTATTTGGAGGTGGTTTGGGGTGCCCGGTCAGTGGTCAGACTCGAAGTGACCGTGCAGAGCCCTCGGGGACACCGCGCCCACCTGTCTGGCAGGGGCGCCCCCCACCCCAGCCCAGGGTCTCTAAGGCAGTCAAGGTGTGTGGCCGGGCGGGGGCAGCGTGACCCTGGTGGAAGAGCCGGGGAGGCCTGCAGGGGCGCGAGCTGGTCCCTCGCCAGCGTCACCAGTGCAGCATTTATTTTTAAATTAAATTAAATTAAATGAAAAATTGGATCTCCAGGTGGTCCTGGCGGCCGGGGATGCAGGCAACAGCCTCAGACCCCACCTTGATGGGGGGGGGGGCGTCTGGCTTTTTGCCTGGAGCTCGGTGGGCGCCAGGGGCGAGCCCTGGGCTGCAGCTCACCGCCCACGGGGTCCTGGTGCAGGGGAGCGGTGGGGCCCCGGGCAGGGTCCACAGGGCTGGTCCCAGCCCCCACCACAGCTTCAAGGGCTGCCCCAGGGCCGCAGCCGGACACCTCCCGGGCCTCAGGGTAGGTGGCCCGGGTTCCCAGCCAGCCTGGCTGTGGGCTGTTGCCTGCGGCCCTGGGGTACGGGTTGAGGCTCAGAACCCCTGTCCCAGTGCCCATTCCGCCAGTGGCTGCCCATGGGCACTCAGGTGGAGGCCAGGCTGCCCCTCTGGGCCCATCCCGCGCACCTGGGGGCCAGGGCGGGCGATGGGTGGGCCCCGGGCCTGGACCCATGCGCACGGCCTCGGGGCAGCAGCCGCC